TTGCTGCTCCCGTTTGCTGGCACAAAGCCTTCAAGACAGGCCCAACAATTGTTTTCGAGCGCCGCACTTCTGATAGCAAAATTGTTTTAAGAGAGTCTTCAAGATTTCCTTAGTCTCGTTTCGGCAAACATGAATACATGCTTTTGTGGCACTAATGTCACATCCAAAGGGTCACGGCACAGCAAAGAGCTAGATCGATACAAACTCGTCCACTTCAGCATACAAGTCAGGCCATAACTTACACCAGTATCTTCAATAATCTTGATATGGGGTGGTTACTCTGCTGGTACTGCTTCTGCAGGTATCTGGCCATGTCCAAGAAAACACAACTCACAACATCCAGGTTTCTTTCAGTCTCTGCTTGGCACAGTTTCTGCACCAATTCATCGACTCGTTCAGAATCGCTTGACATCTTGCTGCGGCCTTCGGACCTGGAGATGGGTCTCCAAAACTCAAACCCCCGCTAGTGGACAGGGTGAACCCTTTCAGATTTATGTCTGGCATACTTAACCCCTATAACGTTCTGTTTGGAGGCTCCCTAAGTATATTATATTATATATATACCAATTTATATATTGTTATATAGTAATATGTATGTGGTTATGCGGGTGTTTTGCCCCGAGGAGCCGTATGTACATATTCCAGGTATCTTTTGCCACCTAGTATGGGAGGTTGTCAAATGCCTTGTATTCCGCTGTGAACAACTCATTTTGTCTGTATCTCCGTATCTCTGCGCTTTCTGGAGGCTTCACAACTAACTCTCCCATCGTACGAGTTTCGGACTCATTCCCACCTTGCTGATCTCTCTTCTCGAACTCGTCTCAAACTCCTCCGCCGGATCTCCTTCAACTGCTTTTGAAGGCGAAATTGGCCCAGCACCACAAGGAGGCCAGCAAAAGGTGGGCCAGGCTGCAGAAGTGAAGCCGCACGTGAGTACTTGCATTGAAGATGCCATCTGCCTCTCCTCGGATTTTTGAAGAGTCTTTTATGCAAATCAGAACGATATGTCCTGTAGAAGCCCTGTAGAAATATGCAGCGACTTTGCAATTCCATGCAGTTTCTATACCTTCGTTATCTCGCCCGGTGGAAACATGATCTGTCCGCAGTACTGACTTGGCATTCCCTGGTTTGGAGTTTCTTTTCCAAACATCAAACACACAAAAACCTCCAGTAGACTGCTCCTACCTTTAACCCTTCCGCATCAGGAGCCAAAACAGGTGGACAAATAGGACATATCCGTCTCACCACGCAAAGAGTCGTTGATCACCATCCCAGGGAGCTTTATAGACCCCACCCCTCAAACCATGTGTTCATCATCCCATCTTCACATCAAGGCCACCAAGGCTTTCCATCGCTCCAGTGGTGCGACCCTTCGCTCCGCTCGTCGCTCGGGCCCACTTCGGCCCGCCATTGGTGCGGACGGGGCGTCGTTTGGCCCCGGGCGCCGAAGAAAGACATGGCAGCGGTGCGCTGGACCCCGAGTCATGAGGACACGATGTGAGGGACTGGAAGTGTGTATGTCTTAGGGTATATCGGTATATCCTGTTCCCCGTAACAGTGGATGATGACGCGGTTCGGAAAGGCCTTTCTCTAAAATAGTGACAATTACCGGCTGTTACAGGTAGTGGGACACCCCCAATGTACGTGTGTGTGTGTATGTCGGTGGGTGTGTTGGTGTCTCAGTGTTTGTGTACCCTTTTTTTTTGGAAGACATGCTGGGGCCAGTGAAGACTGAGCATTTAGGTTAAGGGACTAAGGGATGGACACCAAACCACCTACCTAGCCAGCACTTCGCATCTGGCTCCCTCAGCACTTGTGTGGTTGAGGGCTCACTAGTAGTCTTTGGACGGTAGAACATCGAACATCGAACAAACCCGGCACAACACTCCGGCCTGGTTTGATGGAAACCCTCATGTTGCAAAACCCAGTGTGAGAGTGAAAGCACATGGCACACAACCCACTTGCTGATTGCTGGTGGGTCAAAACCCGGAGCCAACCCTGATAGGTTGACCATGTTTGGTCGTCCATTCAATTCATGTTCGGTGGGCCCCTAGTGCCATCATGACCCACAGCCAGGGAGTTTTTTGGATCAAACCCGCAAAATCGATCTGCCCCAACACCTCCCATCAGTTCTGCAGGTTCCGCAGGTCTCTCACCACAGAATGCTTTGATGTTTGGAGACTCCGTGGCAAAACACGTCGAAGACACGTCAGTTCCCAGACACGATGTTTGGGGACTGGAATTGAACCGTACATTGACCCGATAAAAGGACCCCAATTTTAGGTAACTACATCTGACTCCCTCAGTTTCCCTGGAAAAACTGCTCATATTGAGTGAGGACACCAATCCACTAACTGGGTAACTATATGGAGTCTGGGCTTTGCCGTTCACTCTACTCTCTGCTGCCAAGGGAACAAGCTCTGTCCAGGGTCGCTGTGACACCCAGCGTCCTGGGGTGAACCGCTCTGCTCTTGGATTTTGGCGCACTGGAGACAAGCCAGGTCTGGTGGGATTTTTCCGCTTGTTTTTGAAATAAGATCATCCAAAGGAGTGTGTCAAAGAAAGTGTCAGAGAGGCTTCACCTTGCTTGAGTCGATGGTTTCTCAACCAACCCCCTGATAAATCTCGTGAACCAACACAAGCTCCGGCACTGTTGGGTCCAGGAATATATATATATATATATTATATATATAACAATATACCCTAGGATTCAAACAACCATTGTTTTAATGGTCTTTGCCAAAGAACCATTGTTTTACTAAGGATTTTTACACTACACCACCAGCTCAACCGTTCTTTTAATGGTCTTTGAAGGCTAGGGTATATATATATATATTTGCCACAAGGTCTGGAAGGGGCCACACTGGTCTCAACCAAAAGGGTCTACCCAGTTGGGACGACGCTTCAGGCGTCAAACGACGTTCCGCTTCCGCGGGTCTCTCGGACGGACCGGTGGGACTGAACCGACAGCGCCACGTGGGTGGTGGATTGACTGGGTCTTCAGTGCATCACGGCGCCTAGCGGCATCTCTGCTAAGCCGGCGCCTGACATATAAGTGCTTGATATAGGCATACATGAGTATATATATATATATATCAGTATGAGTATATAAATCAGTATAGATTCCTGACAAACCAAAGGGTTGCCGACAGTCGAGGTAAATCTTCACAAACAACAACTACAACAACAGCAACAACAACAGCAGCAACAAGGAAGGTACAAACAAAAACTGCAGCAACAACAACAAAACCACCTGGAGAAAGATCAAATAGTGGTAACTCTGCCTCGTTCAGTATTGCTCTGTGGGTGTTCACAAGACAACATGCCCTTCACAGAAAGAGACGCGGGCCGAAACCAGTACTTTGACAGCCTCTCGTCGGACCCAACATATATCATGAACAAGGCCGTCGCAGCGGTCCGTTGCAGCCACGGCACCATTCCCCCGCTTTGTTGCGATGCACATCGATGCCCATGATGCTAAAGGGCACCTGTGTGCTCGTGCTCGTCGCTCGTGCGAAGCGCGATGGGCTGCTCCGCGATCCGCGGTACGTCGGTCGGTCCGGAGCGACGAGCGACAGTGACCGGGAGTCCGCCCAAAGAAACTCAAGACTGAGTCGATTGGGGGGGGGAAGATACATACATATGTTATATGCTGTGGTTAGAAAATAGAAAGCATCTATATATATTCCAATCCCATGGTGTCTGGGAAAAGCATGAAGTGGCACGGGTGTTGGGGGGGGTTGTTCCACCTTTCAGATGGTGCCTACTACTGTTCCACATGTCTTCTGTCACCAGTAGGATTCCTCCGGTTTCCCTGCAGAACATGCATCAACACATCCAGTTTGTACCAGCCGAAGTCTGACAGGTCTACTCTACTGGAAACAAATGAAGATGAAGGGCCTACGTAAGGTCTTCACAAACTCCAGCGCAAAACGACTGGTCTACGTACTGGCATGCATCAAACAAGGAGGAAACAATGAGGTTCTACATATGCCTCTGACAAGACAGGTTGTACTTCAGAGCACATGGAGAGGGAACTCGTTCTATAGCTCCTGTTTCCAACATTTTGTAGGTTCAGGCATTGGGTGATTCAAGCCATTATTCCCAGACCATCCATGTATGGGCAAGTTACTTGATTAACCTTATTTCTGACCCAATTGTAAGTAATCCTTCCAGTCGCATTCGTCTGGTCTGGGATTGGGTCCTTTGGCCATCGAAAGAACCTCCGTTGCACAAAGACCCACATCGTAGGAATGCATGCCAGACAGACACTCCATGGGACTGCCATATTTGCGTGGTTTGGGGGGTCAATGCAGGCATATATGGCAGTCCCATGGAGTGTTTGGGCATTGGACTGTCAGCCAGGCATGCACAGCTAGACGTAGCCTGGGCTCCAGATGCTGCGAAGATGTGTTCCAATTTGCCAGGACTGGATATGCACTGGGAGTCCAGTCGACCATGTTCAAACGGTTCTTCCGGTGATCCCTAATAGCGATGGCCTCCAACCGACTAGGAGTCCAAAACCATTTTCAAAAGGTTCTTTGAGGTGATCCGAGTTCGGGACTTTCAGCCACTTGTGGGTCGATTCCGGACGTCTGCGAACATGCCCAACGCATTCTGAATTTGGTCAAACCGCTGGAGGGTAGACATGGGCAACATCGAGCTGCCATCCAGCATCAATGATTGATGAGCACATCTCCCAATAAGGGCACACCAGTCGATCTACTAATACTGGAAGACATCTCGAAATATCTAAGACCTAATTCTATAAGTTGAATGGCAAACAAAAGAAAGAACCCCTCTTTCTACGACACTCTAACTCACTACCATGGAAGTGGACAAGGCTCCGTCTTTCAAGGACTGCCGTCTATTTTCCACTTAACATGATAATTAATCAGTCAGAGTACTAAGCCATGCTCATGTTTTTCGGGCGGATTCACTCGTGGATCTGGCAACACCCCCCATCCTTACCAACAGCGAAACGAGAATTGTGTGTGTGTGTGTCCCAAAGTGTTGTTGGCTGTGCTTTTTTCTGCCCGCGCCCGCGCCCACAGCCACACCCAGAAACCATCCGATGCCGCACCTTCCTGAAGACTTCGTTGACAGGATCCTGGCGGCAACCCGACTCCGAGACTCCCGCAACTCCCGCAACTCCACTGCTTTGACATGTCTGAGTGGCAAGCCTCTCACGCGTGAACAAAAACCCCAAAGAGACGCACGACTCAAACGTTGTTTGGACGGGTCGCTTTACCATGCTCACTTCAAGAGCCCGCAGCTTCCGCGGGGCGATCCACCACTCGGAGAAGCGTGGGTCCGATCCGCCAGCGTGAAGCGTGAAGCAGGGAGCAGGGCTGGTGGTTTTGGAACAGCACCAGGGACCCCCCTGATTTTCTAATTTTTTCCTTGACATGGTCAACCTACCAGGGTTTAGGGGTTCGGATTTGGACCCAAACTCATGTCACCCTGGAGCACATGCACCGTGTCGTCAGAAGTCCTAGTACCCGTGTGTTTGGGGGGTTGGATCCTCTCAATTCCAATGCAGAATCTGGTCCGGACCTGAATTCGTGCCACGGCTAGAAGCCTCCACGGACGGGCTAAAGAATCCATAAAATGAATTCAAAAACCTCCCAAGATCATCGACCATGGGACTGGACTAGTTACGCCAGCATGGGGTCATTTGGATGGGAAGCCCTGTATGTCCATGGATGGTGCGCAGCGACTTTTTGGTCCTATGGATGGTCAAGCTCTTTTGCAGACAATTCTTCTCTTGGAGTGGTGAAACTTCATGTCCTGTACAAGCAGAAGTAGAAAGAAATGCGGAGCTTAATGGATCGATTCCTTGCGATTACCATTGAGTCATCCAAGATCATCCAAGCATATCTAAGCCACCTCTGGGGTGGCAGATCTTTTTAAAGAAGCAGCTTCATGCTTCTCTCTTCATATGAGGGATTACACCATCAATTTCGTGACTAGAAGGTATGCTCACAACTCATATTGCACCACATAGGAGGGGTAAGCTTGCTCGCGGTCACAGATCACAATTTCCTGATGAATTTGATAGTCCTTGTGATGCCCTTTCATTGGCCCAGGCTTCACAATGATGGAGTCATAGGTGCCTCCAAAGGTGCTGCTTCTCCTTGGTGGCCTGCGTTCATGTCTCCGTGTTTCCGTTGCAATGAAAGCATCGCCCAGAGCCACACGAGCAATGATCAAAGTCCGCTCACGCTTGCAGCGGCAGGCCATCTTGTGATCCGGGCATGTATACCTTGGATTTGCTGTCCAGGAACCTATAGAAAAATAATACATATTTGCCAGAACTTCTAGAAGGGGATTTAACCATAATTAGGGAAAATAGAAAACACCTTAAGCAAATCCAGGAAGATACTGATGGCTCTTGCAGGCAGCGGATGCAAAGTAGACCCCATCGCCATACATGCCACGATCGCACATCCGAGGGTCAAAGCCATTCAGCACAATGGAATTTGCATTGCCCCAACTGGTGCCATGCAACAGAATCTTTTCATCGACATCCGCGGCTAAGGCTTCACCGCAATCAAAGACCGCTTGATGACTTGTCATGTATGTACCATGCAAGGCATCACAATCGATTGGTGCAGGAGTGACAGAAATATTGTAGCTTGCATGCTCCTTTCGCAAGGCCGCACACCTCGACTTGTATCCCTGCCAGAGTCTCCAGTTTTCAATGCGGTGTACCGACTTCACTTTCGCCGTCCTCATGCAAGAACAAGTTTGTGAGTTGTCGGTTCCGTGACCTGTCAACTGCAGAATGCTCAACACGGTAGCATGAATAGCTGAATCCTTCACCTCCACGTAGAAGGAGTCCAGCTGATCACTTTGCAGCAACAAATCGGCTGGAGCGGTGATCCACTGCTTGGGAACACCAGCCTCAATGCGAATCCAGCGAATCCTGGGCGTTTCCCCCGCGGGCTGGGCACTGGCCCCCCCAAAACGGACCGCTTGGGGAAGGAACCTCTGGCCCCCCCAGGCGGACATCGGAACAAAGGTGAGCCGAACGCACTTCACACGGGGAAACCACGATTCTTTCCCGCTGCAAAGGCTGAAAGGTGATCCACTTTGCCATGTACACGCGGATCCAGTTTCTCGGGTATTACCGGTATACCATGACATAAAGCCAGCTGATAGTCGCCAAAAAAGTGTGAAGACTTTTGGGTAAACAAACCAAGAAGGGGATGGTCTACTGAAAAAAAAGTATGGCAAAGTTCATCGCTTGGGCATGGCTGAATAAATTTCAATCATGAAGACTTGGGGGATCATATATAGATTACAGTCAATCTTTAATCAACCAGTGGCTGCATGGTGGAAACGCCCTCCTTTTGAACCACAACATGCCACAACCATTTCAGCAGCAAGAATCTTATTGTTGTCGCAACGCTTTTGCTGCATCAATAGGAAATCCACCTCCCGTTCGACGCCGGCGGAGCAAATGCTTACGAAGCGGTTCCTGGGCACTGGATGTTGAAGATACGTCAAATAAGCCTGGTGCATCTTTTCATTCCCCTCTGGCGGAAAAGCATGCCAGCTGCCGTTGTCATGGTATTGCCAACTGGCACCAAGAAGCGTCCCCGCCATGCTGGAGACTCGCTTTTGTTCCTCCAAACGCGCGAGGAGCTGCTCTTGCGCCTGCAGAACCAGGAACGAAGGAGTCCGACGATGGGAACGAGTTCACCCGGGTCCTCACACGTCGTGTGGTTCGGATTGGATCGGTGGATCGGAGTGGTCCAAGGGTTGTCGTCGATCGGATTGGAGCTTCCGCCAGGCGTGAAACGGCCCGAACTCTGGGCCATCGAACAGGTCCACTCGAACTCTGAAACCGTTGAGGGCCAGGCGAGGGCCAGGTGAGGCGGCTCCCAAGGCTGGCGAGGCCCCCAGTTGGAGTCCCATGTTTTGTGGGATGCTCCCATTCCTGGTGTGGTCTGGCGAGCGCCATCTATGGGATATGGACTCAACACATGGGATTTTAGGTCGGTTTGAGTCCCAATGAGATCCCATATTTTCTGTGATGTTCCGTGAAAGACACGAACTGTGCATGTGTGAAATACATTATGGGCAGGTTTCAGGAGTCAAATAATGGCGGCGTATATTCCAGTCCCATGGAATCGTTCCATACTCAGAGAGTTGACTCAGTGGGACTGACTCTATTTGGACCAATCAGGGCATGGGTGCAACTGACCCTGGGGGACTTCGATGATGTGCAGCATATCCGAGGCCTTTTCTCATACCCACACGTCCGCGCGCCACATGGCATAGGTTTCACATGGTTTCCGTCTGATCCCATGGACCAGATCCCGCCAGATCCTGCCGCCCCGACCCGACTGTGGATCTCACACCATGTAACTTGCATGGCCCCCGTTTACACACGGAGACGGCGACATGGGAACACCAAACTGTACTGCTCTCGATGTCAACAGATATCAACAAATGTCTTGAAATGGGAACCCCAAACTGCACATGATGTCAACAGCATGTCCCACGCTGCCACGCTGCGACGCGTGGCGGCACCTTCTGCATCTCTTGGATCTTCTTCTCAGCCGCTTGAAGCTTGCATCGGTCAAGTGCCCAAGCGGCCTCACGGCGTTGAAGATCTCCTGGTCAGGTGAGCTAGACACAAAAAGGCTTCCAACAAAAAAACACAAAAAGGTCATATAGTCATTCACATATCTCATCTGCTTGCAACAAACCTAACAAAAACAATATTTTTGCTATTATTATAAGCAAACCAAGGATCGGACTTGCTCTTCCAAAGGCTCTTGCTGCCTCTCTAACACTTCTCGCCTTGTCCTTTCCATCGAAAGATCTGCCTGAAGATTGCGACGATGCTGTATTTCGGCAGAAAGAACTTGTTCACATTTGAGAAGTCTGACTTGCAACACATCACGATGATCTGCAAGGCTTTGCGGGCTGCTTCCGATGGTTCTCCTGAACTGACACAGTTTGCAGGGAGCTGGAAAAATGATTGCACGTATTTGCACGCCTGTACTCCATTTGATGAACCAAAGCCGTGAAGCGCCTGAAAGGGATATCCGTGATTTTCTGGAGAGCCCTCGCTAGCGAGGTCCAAAGATTTGGAGTGTGGAATGTGCTTGTATATATTTAGTATATATGAAAATAAGGAGACCGACATACACCGACCCCCGCTAACAACCTGTGGGTTCAGTGAGAGGAACATAGACCAGAAAACACCCAGGCCAGTCTGGGGGGTTTGGGAGCTCGGTCGGATGCGACCGAGTGTGCTTTCAGAGAGCCCGAGACTTGTGACCTACCAGACTTGCCACTGGGTTGGTTTGGTGTGACCCCTGATCTCGTCTTTGAGATAGTGCAGTCAATGGGATTCTTCTTCGAAGTTCTGGCAGGTCGCCCCTTTCTTCAACCTGCACAAGATGGAGAAAGCGACGCACCAACATCAGCCAGGCATCTCATCAGCAATCGTGCGGCAAAGCGGGACAAATTGACCCATCTTGTTGAAGCAGTAGTGAGGAGTTGCAAAGGGCTCAAAGGTCTTGGCTTCCTGGAGCAATTGGCTCACGAAACTCAAGGCATTGACGCACCAAAAAACCGCAGTTTTCCGAATCCAACAGAACACATCTGCCCTTCAGAGCTCACGTCCCCTCCCTCTCTCTCTCTCTCTCTCTCTCCCAGCTCACTGGCGGATTGGACCAAAAGGGTATACACTCTGACTCCCTAACATGGTTAGACGTGGATGGCATGGTCCCGATTGAACTCGCAAACAGGTCGTGTCCAACTTCCAACATTTCGACCCCGGAACTCTCGCCCTGGTTCGGAGGTCTCCCTCATTGGAAGACACACCCATATATATTCCCTAGGCTTCCAACCATTAATTTAATGGGCTTTACGGAATCAACTAAGGATTTTACACTACAACACCCAGGTCAACCATTTTTTTGATGGTGGAAGTCTAGGGTGATTGGGTTTCCAAGTTTTGGACATGGCGAGTTCGGAGAACGAACCAACGAACAATCGACATGGAAACTCTTTGAGTGACCCACTCCCATCCTGAACTGTCCCCCTTCCGCTCCTCTCTCTTCGAAGACTTCTGCCCCTTCGCGTCGTCCGCGTCCACGTCGTCCGCGTCGTCGGTCTTGCGCTTCGCGCCATCCATGGCGGCACCGGGAATGCTGCTCCGTGCTAAAGCCGGGGCACGGAGCCTTTCAAGATGTGTCCAGTTGACATGTTTTGCTTGAAAACCTGGTTTCACTGAATATATTGCAGTCTGAAAAAAAAAGAAAAACAACACATTGAATTGTTGATCCTTTTTTTGGTGCTCTACAGCTGCGGCGCCGGGATCTTGCGGGACATGATCTGCATGGTTTGGTTGACTCAAATCCTTAGTAAAACAATGCGTTGTTCAGTATAGACTAGAATACCAGCAGTCACAAGACGGGGTGCGATCCATGGAGGTTGGGGGTGCCTAGCTACTCCACTCACGTAAGGGAACCAAACACCACCGTGACTCCATGTGACTCCTGGTAGCATCATAAATCTATGGTGGGCCAGGAATCTTTGGGTGAAGGATTTGGTGAAAGCATGGTGAAGTTACGATCTGTGTTAACCTCCCAAAAGGGCACATGACGTTTCCTCAGGAGCCTGGACCCGGAGCATACCTGTTCGGGAAGGACACATCCGGGATTGACACCGTGGATACTGTCTTCCGTTCTTTGTCGTTGGCGGATATCTACTTTTCAAACATATAGGAATATGATGGAACTAGTTCAACTCTTTAGCTGGATCAAACAACCCTCAAACCATGCATGGATGAAGGTGTTCCTTTCGTGGCCCTACAGTGTAAGTATAACTATTCCGCACACTCCTGTGATAAGAACTATTGTTTGAATCTCAATCGTTCGCTTCCTGCAGCGATGTCCACCTCCGGAGCCGCCCGCGGGCGCTCCGCGCGACTCGCGCGAATCGCGGATTTCGGACGTAACGCGCGTCGTGGGCACCGTGTCGGGGTTTCTGGGCACGACGTTCCAAAGAGGCCCACAGAACCTGCCGTCGGGAGGCTCTTGAGAAGCCAACGTCTTGAGAAGCCGTTGGGGTCAATTTGATCCATTTTTTGGGGGGGTCTGTTGCTTGGGGCCTATACATTACCTATACAGGTTCGTCTTTCCAGCTTAGGGTCATAAAGACCGAACCTGGCCTAAACCTGTTCGCAACCGGGTTCCTTTCGACGGAAGCACCGTTGGCTTCGAAGGAACGGATATGCCGTCGATTTGGCTCCAACGGTCGATGCACGTTCTCCATGCTGCGAGGAAGGACGTGATCCAACGGCCCAGCAGGTTCGAGAAAAAACAGAAGCGGATCACCAAGCATCTGGATTCTTGGTCAGAGGTGTGTAGAAAAACAGCATGGCAACACACCAACATGGAGGTGGAAAAGCAACACTTGGATTTGCAGAAATAGTCCTGATGGCGCAACCCAAGGGAATTCCAGGTTTCAATGGATGCTGACCTCTGAGTGCCGTTACATGTTTACATGTCGCCCCCAGCGAGAGCGATGCCGCAAAGAAGATTCCTATTGAAACTTGAGATGAACAAGGTTTCGGGGTGTGTTGGGAAATGGGTGTTCAAGTGACTCATCCTCTGATTGTCAGTGGACCTACAACAACCCCAAAACATCTACCTCTCTGCCTCTCAGCAAGGGAACTGTTTTTTGGAGCATCCAAGGTCTATGACATTATTACAGTTCCTTGTCCTAGATCTTCACAAACTTGTTGACCAACTGCCAAAACAACCTCAACACAGATTCTTCCCAGTAGCGCCCTTGCACACGTTTGTGGCTCAAGGCTCCCGGCTTGGCATTGATTTGAAGCACCACCTTGCCTTGGAACCCAAACTTCTCCAGCTTGCATACTGGAATTCCCAAAAAAGCATCTGCAGCAAGAACGCATATCTGCGTGGATCATGGCGTCGTGCACTTTTGAAACCCCCCAATGGCTTGCTCACAGGTCGGTTCCACATCAACTCAGTCTCGCGGATCTCCAACAGCCTAACCTCCTCAGGTGGTTAGACCTCCCAAACGCACCCACCCCTGAACCACCGTACTGAAATGGAAGGGGGGCGACCAGGAGCCCGGGCTCGCCCAACCTCTGCACTGAACACTCGCATATTCCCAGGGCCCGGGTGTTTCTCGATCACGAGACGAATCTCGTCGCCCTTTCGACCTTTCGACCGTGGTCGGGCAGCGCGTGCAAACGTCATGAAAGAGTTTGGGCAAGAGTTTGGGCTCGCGTGTCATGAATCTATGCAGAACTATCCAATCGAAAAAGAGTTATCTGAATTCATCCAGGAGCTCCTGGTGTTATAAATCTCTCAGACCATCAGTGAATCATCACCCATCCAGTGAAGCCATGAATTTCAAAACAACATGGTCTGAGTTCACCTAATACGGTGGACAAAGGGCACTCACTGACCTCCAAGAAGCGACATGAAAGGGGTTTTGCACTTGCAGAAGACCCTGCAAAGCTGTGATACCAAACACTCCATGTATGCCATATTTGTCTACATTGGGGTGGTTCCGGAGGTCAATGTAGGCATATATACCTGCTAACTCCA